TTTATAATAATGATATTACAAAAAAGTATAATACATATATTTTTATCAGTAAAAAAATTTTACATAAATAACGCTAAGTAAAAAATTTGATTTTATAAATGTTTTAAATTTAATTTAATTTAATTTAATAATATATAACTAAATGAAACATAATTTTTGTATATGCAACTTTATTAGAAAGATACAATTAGAGTGTTATAAAAAGTGTACATATAAATGTATACTTTTATTTAATATAAATATTGTATGTATACTGAGAAAAAAAATGCTGTTGATTCAATTAAAATCTATATTACGGACTGTCACTAACATAAGTAATTAATTCATGTATATTTTTATTGACACCTTAATTATTATAGATTATAAATTAATATAGACTTTAATTGAATTAACAGCATTTTTTGTCAGTATATTTATTACAGTTTTATATTAGTAATTAGTATGGATAATATTTAATTTTTGCATTTGATTGTATTTATATATTAATTTATTTCATTTCTGCTTTTTCTATTTCATGTTGTTGATGTTTCTGTTCCTCATAAGTAGTTTTTATAATACATACAAGCAGGGAGAAGCTTTTCTCACATTCTTGTGTAATATCTCTCACTGTACAAATAAAAATTCAAAATAATATAGTTAAAAGATTAAATATATAATATCATGTTTCCTACAGATATTGTATTTTTATAACAATTATAACATTCTAAAAACATTATATAAGTACATAAAACGTACATAATAATTTTTTTTACATAATAATTTTTAATTCCTTATTTTTTGTTAGGGTAATTTATACAATATGTAAAAGAGGTAAAGTCTATATATTCTAGAAAATGAGAACTGTAGAATTTTTTAAAATTTATTATAAACTATAAATAATGTGTCACTTGTACAAGAAATTATAAAAGAAAAATATGTAATATCAGTAATTTTGCAACTGCATATTGAATTTCGGAAATTGTTCGAAACAAAAATTTTGTTGAACTGAACAATATAATAATATATATATAATTGAAGATATATCTTACCTTGTTTCATACATTTACTCGCAATTTGGTGCATAAAGGCTTCACGAGGATTATCAGAATACTCTATATTTATTCTTACATGAATTTGCCCTTCCTTAATGTTTGAATCTTCCATCTAACATTATTAAGAAGAAATTATGAATAAAAATAAAATATGAATTTATTTTATTTATTTTGCGCAATTTTTTTAAGCACTTTGTAAATAAATAAAACATATTTATTAAATTAAGTATGTTATAGCATAATATTTTTACTAATACCATATAATAACATCAACTTTTGTATAATTTTTTATCAACATTAAACATATATATGCAACAATAAACATATATAGAAGAAAGGTCTGTATTATGAAATACCGAGTTCATTTTGGATAAATGCTAGAAATCTATGGGCAGAATTTAAAAAAATAATAGGTCATTTGAAAAGAATTTAATAAGCTTTAAAATAACGTTATATAAAATTTAATTCAAATTCCATTTTTTTTTTAATTAAAGAAATGTAAAAAATGAGCAAATCACAAAGTCAAAAAATTGTGCTCCTAATATGAGATGCCCCGAGAAATCGAAGCAAAGTATATCAGTATTGCAATTAAAAAACTTTATTTCATGTTTCTAAAATAAATACAGCCAACGTGTGTGAAAAATGAGCATGCGATAGATTATAGATATACCCAGAACTCATCATCAGATAATAGGAATCAAGCATCGCAGAAATAGGCACTTGACATTTATTCTGGTTGTCTTTTTTATTATTGTACAATAACATTTACTCTTTAGCAACAATTTTCATTATGATATAGGAGTATAGGTTATTTTATATTAGAAATATCCTGGGTATTTCATATTACGATTTTTACGCCTTATGGTTTTATGATCATTAAATCTAACTTCTGTAATTAAACAATTCAATATCCCGTATTTTTCTAGTACGATCTTATTCCATCACTACATGAAGAATTTATTGCCAAATATTTATTTATTAAATAATAAACAAGGCTTATCTCAATGAAACTTGAAGACATCCAAATTCTAAAATCTTTTTTTACAATGACTACAGGCATGATCTAATAATAAATTTTCTACTAAATAAATTTCTACTAAAAAAATTTTCTACTAAATAGTTTTCAATTCAAGAGCAATAAATTCATGGTGGAACCAATAGATAATGTTTATTAGTTTAGCAGAAATGCCGGTATCTCATATTAGGCGCCTATCTCATAATAGGGAGCTTTCCTTTATGTATAAACAACGCGTTTTATTAATTCATAATTATTACATTAGAAATTAAATTTCGAATAATTTAAAATTTTATTATTTATTATGATATATTAATCTTGCATTGTTGGACATTATATACATATAAAATATGTATAGCATATTTGAAAACACTTACTAAATTTTGTCTTTTTAAGATACACGCAATCCAGCAGCCTATTTTTCTTGTTTTTTCTTCATTTTCGAGTTGAGTAGGTAAGTCAGTTATCATGTCTTCGGGACTGTATAGATCAGCTAAAAAAATAAAAACAATCAATGTAAAAGTCAGTTTTTGAAAAAAAAAAAGTTTAAATAAACATTACAAGATTGTAAGGAAAGTATTCAAATTGGTAAAACAAAATTTGAAAATTAAATTAAAATATTAATTAGGGAATTTAGATGACGATCATAAGGATCTTCAATAATATGCTTCAATAATATGCAATAACAAAATAACTTACCATAAGTCACATTATTTTCAATCTGGCAAGCTTCAATGTCATCTCTAGTAGTTTCTATTAGATTTTTAATATTTTTTAATTCTATTGAGCTAAACGGCTGAAACAAAATATTTCATCTATTTTAGTTATTAATAGTTTTTAATACATATTATACAAAATTATAATTTTTAACACATATTATTATAAATAACTCTCTTGTAGTTTATTGAAATAGTTGAAGTAGTTTATTCACAGAATATTTACAGCAATTATTAAAATGCAGGCGTAAAGCACGAGACTTCTCATTTTACGTAGGTGATACGATATGATATCTTCACTGCAATAAGCGCAATTAATTAAAATAACGTTATCACGCGTATCACCGTATATATACTAGTTCACTCTCTTCGACAGATAAAACACATAGGTCAAAAGAAACAAGATTATAGATCATACAAATATCAATTATGTAACGTTAATAGTGACAATTTACTATATGACAATGTTTTAATTACTATCTTATGATATAAATTGATATAAGTATACAAAATTAAATTAAGTACATAAAAGACTGAACGAATATTGAGTATAAAAGATTAAATCAACGGTAAAAGTCTAAAATACACGACATCTTATTTTGCTTTTTTGAGAACACCTTGTATACGCGTTGAAGCCTTCTAATATCGTTTTTCAATATCATCGGTAATACAAAAAAATGTCTAGATTAGAGCTTCAAGATCATAGATCACATAAATTGAAGTACATACACAAAACAGAAAATATAATGATAAATAACTAATACAAAATTTTATTATTGTAAATATAAGTTGCTAAGATGGGAATTTCGCATACAGTTTTCTCACATATTTACAATTATCTCATATAAGTATATTTGTATTCTGATTAGTTGATCATTATTTTTTCACTGTTTGTGTTAAATAAATCAATAGTATGTGTTTATTTTTGCTTTAAATACTAGAATTTCTTTAGTTTTCCAGTGTGTAGCGTAATTCTGAATTGATTGATTTCAATATTAATATTTTCTTTCTCTTTTAGCAATAAAAATGTATTCTGAATTCTTTTTGATAATCATTTTTACATGTTTTTATTTGATACGATCATTTTGGTCTCTCAAGCTATTACTTCAAAATTCGTTTCTTCAAACCGCGGTGAAAATGTTTAAATGGTCGCATTCCCTCAATAAAAATTCAATATTATACTGGTTAAGATACTGGCTTTTAATACTGAAAATAATTATTTTCAGTATTAAAAATACTGTTAATACTGTTAATACTCAAAATAAATCATTAATTAGCCAGTATCATTATTAAATTTTTAGAAGGGTTTGTAATCTGCGCAAAACCGTATGAAATTCGTCTAAAAAACGAATAACATATCTGACTTCCTTCCATCATAAATTTATTATTTGTCGATAAATTTATCGTATATATCGTATGAACTGAGATCCGATTCTGAAGTTCTACAAATGTACAATTTTACAATATTTTACTTTACAACACCTCGAATTATGTTTGTTTTATTCTAGTCCGCAGATCATCTAAAGAGCGAGATATTTTATTAAATAAATAATAGTTTAATATGAAAAAAATTCATTGAACTTAAATGTGATAAACAGTGATTGTGCGTGGAATAATATACTTCTTTCAAATTATTAAAAAAATTATTTATATTTTTATAAATAGATCATTCTAAATACATAATAAATTTTATTAAATTATATTTTTTTATTTAAATTAATTTTATCATGTATAATTAGATATGAAAGTTTAAAGCTCTATGAGAAGACTTTGTAATCATTTGCATAAAAAAGAATAGGAAGTTACATTTTAGATTTTATCAAGCCAATATATAATTAATCAATTAAAAATTATTATATACTTTCATATATAGTTTCAATCATCTTGCACTAAATACCAGGTATGTCTAGATATAAAATGTATTTGATCATATTTGTACAAATGGACGTATAGAGATTTATTTGAATTAAATTTGACGTATATTAAAATATAATTATATTTGGGTTATCAATTTTTGGGCCTTGGTGGGATTTTCACATAAAAATCTATTTTGTGTATGTCTGTAATTTCAGGTAATTAAAAATTTATCTGGAATTTTATTAAATTATATCTGATTTTTATTTGGAAATATATACTAATGGTTCAAACAAAAATTTCCAAAATTTTTAATATGTTTAATATGTTTAATATGTTTAATATGTTTAATCTATTTAATGTATTGCACAGTAAAGTTAAATTATTATCTCTACTTGGAAATCTATTATTAATAAATCCTGAAAATAATTCGAAAATCCAGATAGAGAGATATATGAGAGCAATATATTAGAAAATCCACCCTTACTGAAAAAAATCATGTCACAACGTTACATAATTTACATGTTTTAATTACATGATTTCATTATATTCATATAATTAAAACATGTAAATTACGTAATGGATTGTTCCAAATCAGTACGTAATTTTTTAAAATGATGTAATTTGAAAAATCATATGATATTAAAAATAATTTTATCCATCATGTGATTTTATAATTATTGAATTTTAAAGAATTGAATGATTGAAATAGAAAAAAAAAGAACATATTATCATGTGATTTTTCAAAATACATAATTTTAAAATCACTGATTTGGAACAATCAATTGTGTGATTTACATATTTTAATTTCATGATTTCATCATGCAATTGTGACGTGATTTTTTTCAATAGGAACAGTTTATAGCAATCGGACTCTTTTCTATATTTTCACTTATATACACTAATTCTATATTTTCATTTATATACAAACTTCCATGTATTAATGATTTAAGGTTAAATACGTCAATTCCATATATATATAACCACACACAACCAGTCTATATTAATGGTTTAATTTGGAAATCCATCAATAGTAACAATCGGATTTTATACGTCTATCTATTTATTCCACTTATTTTCACTTATGGACATCTATATACTAACGATTTAAAGTTAAATACGCCAATTTTTGAAATATACCAGTATTTCCAATTAAGAGTAGATGATTAGGATATATCTGAAATTTCAAGTGACTTTAGAATATATTCACTTTTACAGACAAGTTAGTTTGGCCAAATGTGAATTTCAAGGTATGAATTTGATTATATTTGGCTATCTACTGTACAAAACCGCATTTGACCAAATATGTGCCAATTCTTATTGGAACTTATTTGGAATTTAATGCAAGCATGATGGAATTTCACCATAGTTTCAATAAGGAATGAGCATTATTACTGTTCTTTTGTTTTTAATAAACTTAATACTTTTAATAAACTTTTATTACTCGCTTGTGCGTCATATACAAAAAATATCATATGTTATTTTTTACAATGCTTATTTTTCATCATATACATACATCAATCAAAGTCATTTTTAAATGTATAATTCAAGCGACAAATATAAAAGAATGCAAATAAAGAGATTCACGGAATCCTATCGACTGTTAACGTAAGCTTATCAAACATCACATTTATTGTCAATGTAGAATTATTTGATATAAAAAGAACTCAATACTTAAATATTAATGGAATTATTTGTGATATGCTAAAATTAAAAAAATATATTGGCATAGAGCAATCAGTTGGGATATTGATAAACACTGTTGTCCAAATTGTGGAAGGCCATTTGTTCGTCGATCCATTGACGACCATAGGCTATATTAGCATAAACGCCGGGAGTTCCATTCTCGCCACAGCCAAGACCCCAGGCTACGATACCAGCTTGAACGTATTTAGCTGGATCATTCCTTAATGGGCACACGAGAGGACTTCCACCGTCGCCCTACAACGAAAAGATTTTTAAAAATCACTTTTATCTAATCGCATGCAAAATAGAAAAAAACATGGAAGTTTCTTCATAGAAAATTGTAAACAAAAGGTCGCGCTTAATTCTGTATTTAGCACCAGCTTCCAAATAATTATTCCAGTTTTTATGCTCTTCTTTTTTTAAATATAAACAATAAATAAAATATAAATTCCTGCTCAAAATTGTCAAAACAATTAGATTTAAAAATAGGTTTAAAAAAGTGAGTAAAAGTAAGATAAAAAACATTTTATTTATTATGACATCAAATCCACCAGAATGTTAATATTAAAACAATATCAAATATATCGTTTCGATTTTTTCAGTCATTATAAAAGAACAAAAATGAAAAAAATAATTTAGAATAATAATTGGATATTAGAAAAATCACAATTGAAACATATCAAATGAAACCATATCAAAAGTGTTAGACATTATAAAGAATATCAATATGAATAAATTAGTGTTATGTTAAACTAATAAATCTTCATGTCAGTGAATAGTTAAAATCCGATACTGTTTCATTGTTCAAAAGCGAAAAAATAGCGTTTGTATGAGTTAAAACGTCAGTCATGTAAATTATGCAAAAATTAAAATTCTAAGATAACTATAAATATATCAGTATATTATAAATATATCAGTAATTAATTCGGTGCCTTTTTTTATGAAATTCAAAGTTATTTATGTAAAGACAAGTACATTTAATATTCGAAACGATCGAAATGGGTAGTAATCCGACAAGGCGAGATCTGGTTCGCATGAAGAAGAACTTCCTAGCCCAATGTAAAGATAACGTCCTTATATAGTTCCTTTCGAGATACATGAATATCATGCTCTAAAATCACTTGCTTGTTTCCGCTGCCAATATAAGGCCTTTTTTGCTCCAATATAATACGCATCGTTCAAATATAAGTTATTGTTAATAGTATTCCGTATCAGTAACAATTTGGCGAAGAATTCAGGCCAGAATTCAATAAACTCGTAATGCACCCTTCATATCCCATTAAATACTCAGCAAAACATTTTTTTGCAATGTAAGTTTCGGAGTCAATGTAAACAGTTCGCCGGGATTTACCCGATTTACAATGATTTTCTGCGTTTAGGTTATCGTATGATAACCTCATTTCTCATCAGCAATAATTTTGTATAGAAAATCTTTTTTTTGAAATCGGATTAGCAAAGACAGATTGCCATATCGAATCTTCACTAATTGTTTTCCGGATTCAGATTGTGCGGAATCCACCTACCCTCCTTCTGAATTTTATCGAGTTTGACGATGAGATATGTATGTTGAGTAATTCTGAGTTGTAATGCAAGCTCCTGTTGAGTTTGAGAGAAATTTTCAATGAACAATTATTCGTCGTCGAATTTTTATGATTGACTTGAATGTTGTCGAATCGAAAAATGAAAATCCATTTCGAAACCTCTAGCACTTTTTATATGTTTTACGTGTTACAACATCTTCATTTAAAGCGGTACAAATCATTTCCATAGCTTCAGCAACATTTTTC